TAGACAGTTGAGAAAAAATGGTAAATAAGGCTCTGGGTGCCGCTCCTTTTTCTGATATTGTTAATCCCAGTAGTTCTAGTGGCAGTTCGCCCACTCCAGAAAATAATATAAATCTAGAAGCGGGGTGAGAACACGCAGCCATTATTCCTCTCCAACTTTTTAAAGAGGAAGAAGAGGAAAATTATTCACCTAGTTCAGGAGGGTGACGCATTTTCCGTGTTCGAAATTGTTCTTACAATTCTCAACCCGTTGAATGAATTAGAATAGACAGAAACAAGTCTCGTAAACCATGATTGAGTGCTTACGATAATTTATTTCAGAAAAGTTCAAAGGAAGACACAGTGTTAGAACTGGTAGTCAAGAACAAAGATGATATAAAATGAGTAGACGACATCGATGTAGATTTTTATAGTCGGCGTGAATTAAAAAAAGGGCTAAGTATCGGAGTATGGCATTCGGGACCCAATGAGGGTCTTCATGATTTTAGAGAGAAAGGACAGCAAAATTAGTAAAATTAATTCATAATGGTAAAATGTCAATGCTGTGGTAGCGAAAGCCACGAAAATATAGAGGGTAGAGAGCCAGATTGTCAAGATATTCACCACAAAATCGGTGAGGATTTAGCACTTAATTTTCTTTGACAAATTGACTATAAAACAATGGGATATGGAAGTCAAAGTCAATTAGATGAATACTATAATTACTGACTAGGTGATAAAAAATGCGAGCATTACCAAAAATATGTTTTTTCTTCAAAAGAAGGTAGTTGTATTTGTTGCGGATGGCATTGTTTTGAAGATGCCAGTTGTGATTATAGATACTGTAAAGAAAAGTGTCAATACAAAAAGGATTGTGCGGAATTTTGAAAAATCAAAGAAGAGATGAGAAATAGCAAAAAAATTAGCCAAGAAGAATATTATTCTAATTCTTTAAATAAACCAAAAGAAGGATTTAATTGCCCACATTTTCTAAATATCCAGCAAGAAATTTTACAAACTCAACAAGAACAACCCCCTAAATAATTATGACCCGCCTCTGACTCACCGACGACAACATCGCCTTCATTTTAAGATCATCCAACTTATTTTTAAGCGATTTAGCGATATTTATAAGTTCCTCTTCAATAGGTTCCGGTAAAGTAGAAATCCGCACCGACATTGCTAACATCTACAACGCCTTCACCAAGTCTAAAAGCAACTTAGACATTAGCGACTTTACCAATGATACCGTTTTCACCGAAAAATACACCATTTTTCCAGTTAGAGTATCCGGTAATCACTGAGGTTTATTTATTATTGAAAAAGAGGATTTATCCAACGAAAATGAAACTAAAATAGAAGAATTTACAACTCAAATCTTACAGATTTTAGACATTTGAAAGGATAATAGCCCAGACGAACAAAAAGAATCCATACAACAAGTAATTAGAACCTTATCTAATGATAACATCTACTGAACTCAACAATATCAAGCAGTAGTTCAATTACTAAATCATTATCCAAATTCAAATGTCAAACTTAATAATTTAGTAAAAATGTGAGGGGAGATTAAGCAATCTCTCAATTATCAGGCCTATTATACTTCCTCTGGTTCGGGAGTATTAGGGGAAGTTCAACAAGTTAGACCACTAATTCAAGCATTAACAAATAACAGCATTGCTATTAATATTTTAGAAGGACAAAAGCAAAATAACGGGCATGATTGCGGAGTTTACTTAATTTTTTACATTAAAGAAATCTTAGAAACTCAACAGCCACAACTAAATAGGACTTACTCGGATGATGAAATTGCTACTTTTAGGCAATTCTGAAAAGATAAAATTGGTGAGGATAAATGATGTAAAGAAGATAGCACTAGTGATGATGATATTGGAGGGGATGATTGGAGTAAATTAGGAATTAGTGAGGAGCAAAAAAAAGAGTGATTTGACGAAGATGCTCCCGTGGGGCAAAAAGGTTTT